GGGAACTTTTGTCTGATTCTCGCTATCATAGTAATCGATCATCCTGCCGTCCAGCAAACCCATGGCTGTGAACTCGTGGATGCCCGGCAGTCCAACGGGTTTGGAGAGTCCAGTGTAGATGTAAGTGAGGGAATGAGTCTCTGAAAGTCACACAGGTAGGAAAACACAGGAGGAGGATGGATGAGCTCTGATCTTTTTACTGGGCAGGTATGTTTGAAGATCCATGGATCAGAAGCTCTGGCCCTTTGGTATTTCAGTCATGAATAATCAGTGAGCAGCAGTAAATAATCATCTGTGTTATTTCTGTCACAGTTTGAAAATGAATGTTTTTTCTGTTCTTGCTTCTTTCAAACTGCAGGTCAGAAATAAATCAAAAATATTTGGACCCAAACCGTCTCCAACATCATAAACACGTCTTTCTTTAAAGTTTCTGTAATGCAGTGATTTTAGTCTCAGCTGTAAATGTAAACATCCAAATACACAGTAATAACTGATATTAACTGAGAGTTCAAACTAAAGCTGAGGTTTGTGTGAAGACGTTACTGAGCTGTTTGAGACAAACTTTACAGAAGTTTGAAATCAGACAGAGAACTTCCTGTTCTCATTTGGTTTTCCTGCAAGAAAATAAAGTTTTGTTAACGAGTGTTTTTACACTCCGACTCAAAAACAACCACAAGTTTAACAACTTTTAACAACTTTTAACAACACAACTTTAGCCTCAGTCAGAGGCTGGATTAAAGGTAGCATTTTCTTAAATGTTTAATTTTTTTAATAGTTCCAGTTTTACATGTTGAGGTGAGTTTGCGTCCCTGTATGAATGAAGCCTAGGCTGGGGGGAAGGACAGAGTATTAAAACCTTTCTGTTTCTGTTGTCTTCACTGAAACTTGACTTTGTTTATTAAAACAGAAAAATGTATAATATTCCTGAACCATGAGGGAGGAACAGAGAAACTAAGAGACCACCTTTAAAAAGCAGTCAAAGCTCTTCAGCAGCACAGATGCGATCTGTGTTTGTCATTTAGTGGGAAATCTTGAGGACAGAGCACGATGCTGTCCTATAAACAGATCTCATTAACCCTGCAGAGAGCTGTGATCAGGGATCCTGCATCATTTTAAAACATCCGCTATAAACTTCTTAAATCCTCTGTCTGACACATAACAGCCACATTAAACCGGTAGTAACACTGAAACTAATGAATAACCTGCAAAAGTTGATTCTGTTCATCTGGATAATTAAGATTAAGGAACTGACCTCCCAGCCCATTGTTCCATCGGTGGGCTGGTTTCAGTCATTATGCAAATGTACTGTTTATAAGATCGGGGAAAACCTGCCGTCAGCTGAGACTGAAGGAGTCACCTGGATGAGTGATGAAACGTTTCTCCCACAAAACGCTACGTCCAGATGAACAGAATCAACTTTTGGAGATTTACTTTCCTGGATGACTGAACATGCATCATAATGAATAACCTCAACATTTAAACAAAACATAACTAAAAGTAAGCTTAGCTGAAAATAAATACGATAAAACTTTATAAAAGTTAAACTCGTCTGACATGTTCTTAACGAGGCCACATGTTTCTTTCGGTTTGAACCCGTCTCATCAACGTGTGCAAAAACACTAAAACTCACCGCTGTTTACCGTGACTCCTGTCCCCACAAGGACCAAAACTGAGATCACGAACATTTTAATCCAAATATTGGATTAAAAGTTCTTATCCGGAATAAACTCCGATTTATTCCCCTCTGTTGGACCAGCTTCACCTCTCCATCTCTGCTCCTCGCTGCTTCCTTCCTCTGTGATCTGAGTGATGCATTCAGGGGCCGCGGGTAAACTACAGATGCATTCAGGCCCACCCGTCTCCGTGTTTTTGTTTTTAAAAAAATAGACATTACTTTTACTGCGCTTTAACAGAGAAATGTTCATTACTCGCAGATAAACCACAGAAAATAAAAGCTAACCAAAGAAAA